TGTTTACGAGCATATGTAGACCTTACGTTTATCCTTTTGGAAGAATACAGTATCAATGAATATCAATTCGAAAACTAATCGGATGTGTATACAACAAAAGACGACAGATAAAATTAGATGTATTCATCATATGAACTGCCAATCGTAAGAGTAATTTATATGAATAGGTAAAGAATCAATATTGAAAACTAAGTTCAATACAACTTTTGATGATCAATTCGATTTTGTCTATATTAACTTTACATAAATGAATTGCACTATTATTTTACTTTTTTTTGAAAAAGAAAGACGACTGATAAAACAATTATCGATTTGAAACTTGATAAATAGTGTGTTTTACTGTACTATATGGAACGTAAGCATGAACAAATTTTCTTGACTAGCATCATTAGTATGGGTGATATATATAAGAATCTATAAAAACCCACGAAAATGTTTGAGTATGGCTTTGTCGCATGTATACAGATATATACGTCGAATAATTGCAGAAATACGAGAGTTTTGAAAAATTATTAAAACTACTTAGAATAATAGGCTGAAGAGCTTTGTTTATGTGCCACAATATACAACTGAGACTCAGAGTTCAAGATGTGTTATGTTGTTTGCACAAAATGACCTCCATAAAACACAATCTACATTCAATTCGCAGTAACTTCGATAATACTTAAGATAAGAATTGAACTCATATATAATAGATTTGTTTTTATCTTAATCTTTATGTTTTGCCCACATTACACTCTTGCATGACACATTTTTCGCAGATAATCTTGCATGACTTATTGAAACATATTTTTTTTTCTCTCATGAACCAAATGTTTTTCGATGCAAATATTTTTCATGACAATTAATGACACGGAATTGATGAACAGATTAAAGTTTCATCTGATACTGCTGTGTCATTAGAGAGTTGTAGGTTGAACAAAATGAAAAATCTCGCGTGACAGATCCAGTATATTAAACAAATTTTCAAGTTTTATTTCATAATTTTAATAAACAAGACAGCTTTTTCTTCTTTTGAAACAGGTTGATTTCCTATTCATTGGTTTTCATTCTACCGTACATCGATTGTTTTTAAATAGGATTGCTTAATCTTATATTTATTTTTAATCTTGCATGATAGACAATCGAACAGGAACTGTGCATCTGAGATTGAGGAAAAATTATTAACAGAGTCATGATAAATATGCCAAATAGTCTTATATTTGAAAAGTGTGAATTGTTTTTTTCTCATCTACCAAGTTTCAAAATTTAAATGCGAAAAGAAGAAACCGATTAGACGATATATTTTAGCAGGAGATAGCATCAAAAAACCAACATTTTAGATCTTATCTACTTAGTATCTTACAATTTATTTAAGGTAAATCTCTTTTTTCTTTTGAATGGTAGAAAAGGTTTACTAGAGAAATGTAATCTGCAAAAAATCATAAAGATTGATTGAAAAAACCTCAAGTTATTGAACTTTCTCATGTTAGAATGTAATGGTCCAATCAAGTTATAATTCATTCATATTTGGAAATAATTAAAACTAGCTATTTGAATTAAATTTTGATTTCAGTTTCTTATTTTATTCTATTTAGTGTTTTCCAAATAGGCCTAACTTATTCTCATCTTTATGTGTGCTTTAAAATCTATTCAATAATGAGATATTGAAAATTCGTTAAAAAAGAAATTGATAAGCTTGAATTTCAATTATGGCATTTTTGACTTTTAAACTATAGTTATATTTCAGCAAAACTTAAAAACTCAATACAATGAAAGTTCAAACATAGTACATTTGAATAATCGGAACGTATACACGACCTGTAGAGTCTAAGCGAAGTAGCGCATGTTCGTCCCTAAATACAGCAATGTCTATCACACACGTTTTTTCGCCATTTTGCAATATAGAATTTTGTTTTTTATAACACGAAAAATATCATCGTTTATTACATTTTAGAATATAATCAAACAATGACAAACACACTACTTGAATATCGAAGTTACTGAGTAGGAGAAAATGAGAAACTGCGAAAGTTCAAAACTCCTAAAATAAAAGTAACAGAACAGAACAGAACAAATCAATCAGAGAATGATTTCAATTTTTGCTCAGTTTTTCCTGTAAATTCTGATATATTCTGTTACAATTGATGTTGCTTGACTCATCATCCTCTTGATCATGATGAACTTCTAAAAGCCATTTTTGCCGTGTTTTCTCTGCAAATTTAAGAGATATTTCAACCGAACATCTTATGCTTGTTCGATTGTATTTGTACGTACAAGACTATCGTTGTTCCATGAACACTTCAACCCGTTCTTCTTTTTATTATTATTTATATTTCATGTTACTCGTGGTTACTATTTTACATGCAAACCGCTATTTTTTCTGCATGGTTTTTTTTATACAAACTTATTGAAAGTCTACACACGTTTTGTTTTGTTTTAAGAATTGATAATTTAATCATACTTCTTTTCTATCAAAATCATTGCTTTATACGAGTTATTTTTCTATCCTAAATGTGCACTAATACTTTCTCTTTAATATGCTTTTTTGAACTTACTCTATCGAACCATTTGACCCTGGTTCACACATAAAAATAAATACATGTCTTTAACAACTACTCTATAATATCATTTTGTTGTGAAACCTTGATGGAAATTGAAATGTTCAGCTGTACCAAAGACTAATACCAATCTGACCATATACAGAAGCATTAAATCTATGAATGATATGTGAAACCGTCAGTCAACTTTAAAAGTCAGATGTGGCAGATTACAAAATCACAAACTCCTATGTGTATGATATGACATTATTCTTATGATTAATGAGTAAAACTATTCACGTAGATTATATGAACAAACGAATTTTGTCACGTTCAAACTTCTTTGACAAGAGTTCAAGAGTGTTCCGATAAATTGAACTTCGATATTCAGTAACTCCACATCACATTCGTTGTCGAATGAATAATGTTTAAATTAAGGTGATTTGAAAGAAAATCAATTTTCGAAGATAACAAAACAATTAAGAGAGTCAATACAAACCAACAGATGAATTCTGCCAAGGCTTACTGTCGGAACAGGATTCAAAAACCAATATATTGAGTGAAAAACTTATATTTGCTTGATGAGCCCTTCTGGAATTATTATCATTTAATAGAGAAGAAAATTCTGCACATAATACAACCAATTAAAGATCCGAAAACAAATTAGAAAACGAATTGTGACAAGAAATTGTCGAATGTGACACTAATTTTACTTACGCTACGTTTTCTCGGGCTCGAGTCTACAATAATGTAGACCAACAGCACCCAACTCTTAATAGTTTCAATAAAGAAAACCTTTATGATATCTAAATTCTTGTTATTTACTCGTATATGAAAAAAGACTTTTTTCAGTGATATGGAGAGAATAATGAATGAGAATATGTCATAATTATTGGTTGAGTCAAAATGTATGTTCATGTAAAAATAAAATTTAACTTGAAATCATCTAACTCACACAATGTTTGTCTTTTATTATCTTGTAAATCATCAATCAAATATTAAAAAAAGGTAAAAGAAAAACAAATCACAAATAGAATCGCTCTATTCTGAATGTTCGAATTCTTTCTTATGATATTTAAAATGATCTTCTAAAAATGTCATTATAAAATAATAACTATGATCATAACCAGCTTGTTCACGTAATTCAATGGGAAATGAAGCTTTTTTGGAAGCATCAATAAATCTTTCTGGAAATAATTGTTTATCTTTGAAATTATCATCAGAACCTTGATCGATTAAAACCGGTACATGCGGCTTTGGACCATGATATGAAGCGACAAGTTCAGTTGCATCATATTGTTTCCAAAGATGTTCATCTTGACCGAAAAATTTCGTGTATGCATTAATACCCCATTCACTTTTTGATGCATTACAAATCGGTGCAAAAGCTGAAACAGATTTATATTGACCAGGACGTTTAAAAAAACTAATTAAAGCACCATGTCCACCCATACTATGTCTAAACAAAAGTGATCGTTCATCAATTATTTTGCTCAATATTAATTTTTTCGTTTCTTACCCGAAAATTCCAATTTGCTTTGGATTAACATTAAAATTGCTAACAATTAATTGATAAAATTCTTCATTAACATAAGAAAACATACGGTAATTCTTTGACCATTTATTGTCAGTTGCATCGATATAATATCCAGCACCTTCACCAAAATCCCATTTATCACTATCACCTTCAATTTTACAACCACCTATATTTTCAAATATAAGAATACAATGAAGATATGTATAAAAAACTTTTCATACGAGGACTAGTATCAGGATTTGCTACAATAAAACCATATTCTGAAGCTAACCGTTGAACACCAGATTTTGTAATAAAATTCTGTTCCGTACAAGTTAAACCTATTCAAAAAAAACTAAATTTATTTTCTCTAATTTATGAAAACTCTAACGAACCAGAAAGAAATATTAATAAAGGTACTCGTTCCTTTTCAGCTTTTGCTGGAACATAAACACCGAATTTCATTTTACAACCGACAGTTGAACTAAAACCAAAAGCCAAATTTTAAATAAATAACTGAAACAAAAAATTTTTCTCTATTATATACCTTTCATGACTATAAACATATTGATGACCATCAAAAGCTTTTGAACTTTGTTCACGAGTCAATGCCGATGATGACATTCTCAAAAAAAAACGGATAAAGGTAATTTTTGACCGAGTGTAAAGGTGAATTATTTTTCTTTATTTCATTAACATGCAAAATACAATCATCAATTAAAAAAAAAGAAAAACGAACACAAATAACCTCTCACCTTATAGAGATATTTATAGGGTTTTAAAATACAGAAAAAAAAATGAATTTATGCTCGCAGAATTATTTTTCAGTGATCTCAAACAACAAGTGTGTAGAATAGAATAATAGATAACTCGAAACGATAAACAAAAAGAAGAAACATACAATAACAACAACAGTATATTATATTATGACTAGAGACAAGAGAAAACGAATTAAATAGGTATATTTAAAGTTCCAATGATGAAAATAATCGACGACACATAACAGCAGCCAATGATGGACATTTATCAAAGTCATAGATAAGTTGACGCTGTTTGTCATTTAATTTTTGAAATACACTATTGTATTCACGATCAAATGCGTCTAGTTAAGAGAAAAAAAATATAATAACAGAAAAATTTTATAATTACATTCTAGAAAATCTAATAGAATAAATCTACACTTGTAAATATATCATAGATTTTTAGAATTATTAGAAAAACAATGAAATTTTTCAAAAGAGAAAAATTGAATAAAATCGTAGACCAAAGAATAAATTCACAAGGGTAGGTACTCAGTTGTCGGATGACGATTGAACTCGTAGTTTATCTATATGTAGTATGAAGCGAGATCAACAGAAGTTAGAAATAAATGCGTGTCCATGTCTTATTCTTTTAGAGTTATGATCATTTTTACTGAATTTTTGACTTTACATTAGACAGCTAGTTAACTATCGCAAGTCATAATTTGACCTGAAAATTTGTCTATGAGTAGAACTTACCATTATTACATTACTATGAAAGTTTATTTTTAAAAGCATAATTCCTTCACAAGATATTCAACGATCAAAAAGAGTTAATGTTCTAATCTTTGTTGATGAGACATGATAGTTTGTTGATGGTTGGATATCTCACGAAGAACAAAGAGTACCAAATATCAAACTGATACTAATTGTAAAATCTATGTATCAAATTTGTTATGAATTTAAACTTTTCAAAACTTCTACAAATTTAAAACAATTCTAAGAATTGAAACTACTATGGATGTAACTATCAATTCTTTTGAACCCTATGATTCGAAAGATAGCTAACATATCAGAAATTAGGAATGTACTGTCTTGAAGATCAGGATCAGGTCAGCAGTAAAGATACGGGTGACCTATTATGCATATAAGTACATCACTGATTCTTGCTTTTCTATTGCTTTCCATAGGTTATCTTTGGTATAAATCAGCAATTAGAAGATTTGCCACAATGTCTTCGTCAGTTTCAGATTATTTTCGTTTAAGGTTCTTACAAAATCTTTATTTCGGAAATATAGACGTTCTCATAGACTGTATTTTCAACTGTTTTTCTTGAAATATACGTTTGCACCAAACAAGACTAACACATTTGGAGTAGGAAGTCAATCAATAGAACAGTATTAACTATAAGTTTTAATGTATAATTCTTATGTCTTTAGAGAATCGTTTAAGATTTCTACACTAATATTCGGCTTAAATTTAACATAGGACACAAAGTTTGGTCTGTTTATTTTCAATTGATTATATAACTATTTGAGAACTGCATAATAGAATTTTTTCTTATAAACTTACCATGCGAAAGTTTTTCACGTCCAAGTGCAACAATTGCTAAAAATAGAATTTCTCTGTACATTGAACGACGACGAATACGTCGACGTATTGATTTTGATGATTCTTTTATAAATAATCGAATTGGATTGTATAGATCATTTTGTTCAATACAAGCAACAATTGATCGTATTACTCTATGAATAAATTTAAAAAAAAAAGCAAACAAATCAATATTTTATTTTATTTTATTTCTCTCTATTAATAAAAAAAATCAGTGAAAAAATCAATTTTTTAATCTCGGAAATGTGTGAAAAGAATTATTTACCGATCCATATTATTATCAAATAAATCGCTAATATATGAAGAAAATAAGAGGAAGAAAAAGAAAATTCTTCTATTAATCTTACTTTCCAGTAACGGTACTATGCTCGTCCGTAATTAATGCATTGGCAACTGGTGTATGACATCCATCTAAAAGTAAGAAAAAAAAAACATAGATATATTCTAACAATCGAATCAGAACACAAGCACTCCTTCTGTTTTCCTAGGAGAGGTGACATTTTGGCTACATGTATCGGATCTACAAAAGATGCACATGAGATTAAAAAGATTAATATTTAAACTCCGAAAGATAACAAAGAAATAAAAAGATAGTAGAAACAGCAAAGTTTTTATTTTTTTTCGTCGATAGTTAATTCTACTGATAATTTGTATCGTGAATAATATAGTACACATAGCGAAGGCTTTATCTATCACTATATATTCATACTAGGAGAAGCGCTAATGTTCTATCGCTGCCGCTAATACATTCTAAATTTCAATAAAATCGTTTTTCTTACCATAACCATCATGTTCCCATGTTTTATACATTGGTTCAGCAATATCACTATGACTTATTGCACTATCCCACATACAACGTATACGTATTGAAGTTTTTTCATCAATAAGTTCTTGTCCCAAAATACATTTACTCTTTTTAAAATCTCGTTTTATTTCATTATCTGATAAATGTAATAATGAACGTAAAAGCATTTGAAATAAATAACTTGATACATGAATACGTCGAAAAAACCAAATCTAAATAAATAATTATTATAATATAGTGAAAAAAAAATAAATTTTAATATATGTTACCAAGTTCCAAAATAAAATTGGATGTTTTTCTTTAAAATCCATTTTATATAGATCACTATTATTGTGATCAGGTGTTTCGATTATATTTTCAAGTTCTTTACGAAGAACGAGCGGACTTAAATAGTGTACCGTTATAGTTGGTGACGATGGTTGAAGACGGCTAGAACAAATAAAATAATAATAATAATAATGAATCTCAGATAAATATTTAAACTCTGTTTCATAATAAAGTGCTTAATACTTTGTTTTTTCTCCAGTTATAATAGTTTTCCTGAATTTCTGACCTAGTGCAGAGTATCTAATAAAAAAAAATCTCACATCGCTATTTCGATCTCCGTAAAGAGATCTTATGATACACGGAAATTTTCACTTCGAACGAATATTTTCTTTTCAAAATATCAGATTTTCAGCCTTTTTACATATGTTTAAAAATATTCAAAAAAAATCCAGTTTTTCTTGTAAACTTATTATTAGAAGGAAAAAAAAAGATTCGTTCGAGATAAAACTTTTGATGCATCATAAGACCGTTTTATGAATGAAATTTAAGATCGAGTTAGTGACTTAATATTTTCGATGATATACCGTACAACTAATTCAGAAACTCAGTAAATTTTTCATAAATTACGAAGAAAGCTAGAAGGAAACGAATCATTACCAATTCTATTTACTTTCCATGGGCTCTATCTTATAACAAAAGTCTCATCGCAAATACTTTTTTATCATTTTGAGAATTGTCCTGCAAGTAAAACAATAATGTTAGTACAATTTCTATGGAACTAAAAGGTGAACATGATGTCATAGGATAAGACCAAGTGCTTTTAACAAATATGTATTCTCTAAAGTAAATGTTTAGTCAACAGACTTGAAAATCTATGAAAATAAAATTCCTATTTATTCATATAATAATTATTTTTCCAAGTTTAGTCTTTGAATATCAAAAAACAAATGTATTAAATAAAAAGGTTTATTTTTAAAATTTCTGAAGATCTGAAGGAAAAAAAAAGATCAATCTTACAATGATTGTTTCATTTTTTCAATCATTGTTTGTTGCGTAATATTATTCGTTGGTGTTGTCACTGTCGAATCATCTTTTCTATAAAAAAAGAAATAACAAAATCATTATATTGAAAGTTTGTTTTTTTTCTTTAAAACATACGTTGAAGTTATATTGGTATTCATAGCTGTATTATCCTAAAAGAAATGCATTAGAAAAAAGTCTTTTTATAATTAAATATAGTTATTTTTCTTACTCTTATATTAATACTTAATTTTGGTATTGTTTTTTCTCCACAATGAACACATATTGTATGTAATTCAGAATCATCAGGAGACCAACCATTCATTATTTCTTCATCATATAAAAATTGATTACATGCTGAACATCGATTACAACTACTAATTTCAATAATTCGATTTGGAATACGAGAATTATCATCATTATTACTTATTAATGGTATTGCAACACTTGATGGATCAATACGTAATGCTTTGATATCATCATGTATATTATTCATATCCATACCATTGATATTATTTGTATTTAATGATGAACTATTTGAACTCTGTTGAGATATAAGTGATGACAAACTACCACGTAGTTTACTATTACTATTATTTCTTGCTAATGTTAATTCTTTATTAATTGTAGGATTTTTAACTGTATAAAGACTTTTCGATTGTGTTAATGGAATGGTTGTAGATTTTACTGATGTTTTAAGATCAGTAAAACGATCTAATGCGTATGATTTAATTGTATTAAGATTTTTTGGATTATATAATGCTGAAAAACCACTTTGAGTAAGTTTAGCACGTAATTGTGTTATTGATGTTGGAATATGTAATAGAGATGTTATTTCTTGTTCTTGTTCTTCTTGTTCTTCGTCTTCTTTTGGAATAGAATTTATAGTTGATTTTATTTCAGTTGAAGAAGATTTTGAATTAGCAAAAGGTTTATCCATTATTGAAGATGTTCGATTCGTAATTACTTGAGGTATAGGAACTTTTGGTGTTGGATTAAGTAAACCAAGTGGATCATTAGATAAAACTTGTGTTCTTGATGTTAATTCCCATTTAATTGGTGCATTTGATTGTGTTTGATTGTCAAGACATGAAATTGAGCGACGTGTTGATTGTGATTGATTATGTGTTTGAGAAGATCTTGGAGCAACTGGTAAACGATATGAAAGCATACCAATATCACCTATTTCAATATCACTTGTTGTCATTAATATGCCAGCATCAGATCGAGCTAAATATAAAAAAAAGGCTGTTAATACCATTCCCACGGGATTAATATATAAAATATGATATAGTTGTTGTTGCTAATCACAGGGAGATTGTTTTTGTTTTATTTATTGGGAGACATATTTTTTCATCATAATTTTACATAATCTTTGGAAAGTGAAATAAAGAAGATCATAAATTGAATAATTGATAAGTTTTTAGACGCAATGTTTGTTTAATTTTCACCAATGAGTTAGGACCAGAATTATATGTGCTTGAAAATTTTGTATCAGTTTTTGTTCGAGAATAGTAAAATAATTTTTTAAAGCCCAAAGAATTAGTTGCAAAGGAAATTTTTTTTGTATTATCACTTGTACAATTTGAAAGCAAAATTTATGATTTCTATTTATGTATCAGTCTATAGATGAAAAGCTAGCCTTCAAAATGTACTATTTGAAGTGGTTTTTCTATCTATTGACAAGGCATTTCAATTTTCGTTTTTTCTAAATATTCATTTTTTTTTAAAATAATTAACAACCATTGTACATTCAAAGGAAGTCCTGAAAAAATGCTTATAGTTTTACTTACGAGCGAACTATGCCAAATGATACCTTGCGTAGTATCCTCGTTAGGTAAAAGCTACAACCTACAAACTATAGAGAAGAGTCCACTCGACAACATAACCTACGTCGACAATTTTGCGCATGTTCGAAACTACTCTTGAATAAAAATCCACACGATGTTTCTAAATCAATATTCAAATTTTGCTTACGACCTATCATCTTTGATTTGTCTGTAAGACATTCCAGCATATCAAAATCAACGAAGGTATTCACTGAAAACGTGGACTCTCAAGCCTCGTTCAAACTAATTTTGTCGGGCTTTTCAAAGATTATTTCACTACTCTCGAACTTTAAACTGAGGCCAAATTTCTAAGCATATAAAATTCTGATCCTAATCTATCACAAATACTTTCTAGCCAGTAAAAAAATGAACAAACATCTTGTCTAAAAACTTTTTGATCACTCGTTTTGAATAAAGTGTTTCTGACGGTCGCTAGAAATTTCTACCTTTATACTTCAACGCTCGTTTTAAATGGTTCACAAAAAATAATACGAATTTCAAAAAGAAAAATAAATAAACCTGTTTGATGAGCAATTGATTGAAGTGTACTAAAATCAAGTTTAGATGGCATATCAAGTATATTTGATAGTAAATTTTTTTCTGGTATTTCTTGAATATTAATATTGTTATTATTATTTGTATTTGTTGTACGAATTATCTTAGTATCTATATATCCATCCACTAAAGAAAATGAAAAGAAATACAATACAATTTAGTAAATGAAAATGATCTTTGTTATTTTTTTGTACTTGTTGGTAGTTTTTTAAAAGCCATTTTTGGAAAAAATGGACTCTCTGTTATATCTTTTATTGTTCCAGCTAATGTTGAAAGTACAGTTGATAATGTATCATCTTGATTAGGATTATTTCCGCGATTATCTATAAAAATATTTGTTTTTTGTTTCAAAATAAAACTAAAGTTAAAATAAACCTTTGAGATTATCGGTTGAACCAAGTGTTCTAGTAGGATGTGTAGAAGTTGTTGGAATACAACTTGTATGTGAATATCCAACATTAGAATCGGTACTCATTGCACCATCACTATCATCATCGTCCAATGATGATGTTGATGGACGACGATTACGTTGATTATGTCGATAACGATGAGCAGTTTTGAATGCCCATACAGCTCGAAATACGGAACGTAATGTTGCCCAGCGATCACGTCGTGCCCATGTACCTTCATAAACAGCCTAAATAAGCAAAAGTTATTGAATAGTTGTTGTTTTAATTAGATAAATTTTTTTTTATGTTACTTTATTATAAGCACCATATGTAACAGCATTCCATTCTACACCAGTTTTTTTCATAAATGAATAAGTTTTAACAGCTAATATAGGATAATCATAAAGACCACATAATTGAATAATAACACGAAAACAAATCTAAAAATTAAAAAAAAAAGATTTTATTGAATTGTTTCACGTGTTTCTTCTCTTGTTTTACTTCATCTGGATTTGTTAAATGTTGTCGATTCATTTGTACAAGAATTTTATATGCATAATTTAAAATATCTCGTGAACTTGTATAACATTCAATCATAGTAGGTAAATGCATAAACCATAGAGAATAAACATTGGATAATAAACAATAAGCCCATTGTGTAGGTTTAGTTTTATTTTCACGAGCGACCTTTTTAAAAATAGAAAAATGTATCTTTACAGTAAATTATTCATTTGAAAAAAAGATTTGATCCTTATCAAATATTTCTATACGACTTAGATGAATGATGCATACAGTAAGAATCTGCATGATAGCTCCAATCACGATAAATTTGAGACTTAAATTTATTCTTTTTTTTTATGGGAGTCGAAATCTATGTTTTTTCAAATTGATCCCAATAAATTTTTGTCTACTAAGAATTACATTGTACACTTTCATGTTTATTATTCTATTCTGATGAAGGACCTGAAAATCGGCTATTTTTATTTAACATTCCAATAAAAATCTTTTCTAATTTTGTTTCGAAAAATTGAATTTTTTCAATAACTTCTATCGACTTTTGAATATATAAAACATAATCTACATCAATTTGATTCTATAGCAATTTATTTATTGTTTTATTTTCATATTTTTGGTGCAATATTATCTAAAAGAAGTATTGAAAATAGACTCCATCGAATTCAAAAATTCTTAGATCTGATAAACTCTAATGTTGAAATGTATAGAGTAGAAATTTTCAGTCACTTTCTCTCGAAGATTGTGACTTACCTTTTGACATTTATCTCTCTCAAATTTTGATCGTTTCACCATCGGACTATTTGGTACAAGTTTCATTGATGATATTTGTGCTTGTTCTTGTGGTAATTTTAAATTTGTTATATCAGTTTTTTGTTGACCATGTATTTTATTTCCATTGTTATTAGGTTTATTTTGTTTATTAATTGAATCATTATGTCCATTAGTTCCTGAATGACTTGAATCAATAAAATCTGGTAAAATTAATGTTGTTTTTTCACTTAAAAAATTCGTTGTTATATCATGTATATCAAGTAAATATAATGTTTGTTGTTCATTATTTTCAATACTTGTTTTAACTTTAGTACAACATTCATCAAAAAATGCTAAACTATAATTATGATGAACATTATCATTAATTAATGTTGATTGATTTAATGTACTTGATGATAAAAATGAACGTTCTTCTATGAAACGACTAAACATTTGTGTACGTAAAACATATGAATAAAATTTAGCATAAGATGAATCTCGTGAATGTAAAAAACTATCAAATTCAAATAAAACAGATGCATCAGTTGATAATTGATTTGGTCGACGTAATATTGGACGTAAAAATTGTTTATAACCATAAAAACATGTACACATAAAACGAAGAAATACATCACGTATTCGTGTTTCCATATTACGTTCAAGTTGAATCATTTGTATACGTAATTCAAAATCATTACGATTACGTTTTAAACGTGTGCGAAGATCATATAAACGTTTTTGATATGTATCAAGTACTTGACATTCAATTTCATCTAATGATTGTTTTAATTGTCTAAACTAAAAAATGAAGAAAATAAAACCCAATTCGATTGATTTAATAGAACATAACAAAGAAAATAAAAATTTACTGGTTTTTTTGGAAACATTTTTACAGACCAATGTTTTTGTTCTTCAGTTCTATATTAAAAAAAAAATAAATTTTTCTGACATATTGTTCATGATTAGTAATTAATTCTTATCTAGTTTTTGCTCCAAAAAAGAGAACATGAAATCGAATCAATTTCAACTATTACACAAAGAAAAATCCTAAACTCAATATTGTCTAATAAATTGATAATTTTCTTTCGTTTTTGAAATCTCTCGCATAGTAATTTACAAGTGAACTTTTCCAAGTGTCAAGTCACTTTTCGATCGAGATGATGTTCATTTGATGAGCGATAAAAAAAGTCTAGAATAGTTTGGCACCCTGAGCCTTCGTTCTTCAAATATCGTTTTCAACCAAAAGCTTTGATTTCCTTAGGTCATGTCAGAGTTTCAACTTTAAACTATGTACGAACAAAGTTCGTGATGAGGCTAGTTTATTGAAGAAGTTGTAAGTTTTCTAGAATCTCCTACCCTAACATATTCAACATTCGAAATTCTATCATATAGAAAAGCTAAAAACCTGTACAATTAACTAATCCCATTGAAAACTTTGTTCGTACAAAGTTTAAAGTCGAAACTCATGTGACCTAAGGAAATCAAAGCTTTTAGTTGAGAAACTCATTCAAATCTTGATATCTCAAGAACGAAGGCCTACACGATCAAACCACTCTAGATTTTTCTATAACACTCTAGTACTCATCAAATGCATATCGTCTCGATTGCAAAGCAAGTTGACATCGAGAAAGGTTTCCTCATTAGTTTTACTTCGTTCTCACCCAGGTCGACAAATACGGACCGGTTCCGACAGGAAAACACCGGAAATCGCTGAAATATGGAAGCAGTATTCCAGCCGAAAATTTTTCGGTGGATTCCGATCAACTTCCTGTGCTTTCCAACAGGAACAGGCCGGAAATCATCGGAAAAAAATCCTGAAAATTTCCGGTCGGAATATTGCTTCGATGTTCCGGTGATTTCCTGCAGGATATGGTGACCTTTCCTGTCGATTATTGCAGTATCCGTTCTCCGGAATCATTGACCTGGACATTTAAAAAATTAATGTCTTCTTCAGAACTCTACAATTGCTTCGAAGTATGATAAAAAGAATTTCTCATGTTTCTTTTATTTTTCTGCAAATCAACAACATAATATTAGAAGTAAGATCCCGCAATATCTCTTATGTTTTTTATAAGATTGATTAGTAATTTTATACAGCGTTGGGATGGTGATCTTTCCGAGACTATGGTTAATTATACTGTATATTATGTTTTTGTGCTTTCAAAAAAAGTGTTCGTCTCTCTCGGACAAGCAAATTCAAATAACACATACACATTGACATTGATCAAATCACACTGTTTCATATATTTTATAATCTTACCCTCCAATAATAATATTTGTATCTAGATCAACACATATAACATCAGGAGGTGGTTCACAAACATCAAAATAACGTGAATCGATTCCTATAAAAAAAAACTAGTTGAATCATCAATAAATATATTTATATCGTCTTACCAATAATAAATGGAATTGGTGCACTCAATACATCACTCAATGCTACAGGACATAATGGTATATATGGGCATTGCCATTGGAATGGAAAGACCATCTGAAAACAAATTATTGTTTATTTTCAAAATAAAATAAATAGTAAGTGCCAGATCTTTTCTTACGCTATTCACTGCTTCAACAACGCCTGTCAATACTGATGATCTTAATGAATGTATAAGCAATTTCGATTCCAATAAAGCAAATAAAAATAAAGTTAATGTATTATCTGTTCCTAAATTTTTTAAAAGATCAACAAATGATGCACCATTCTGTGGTAAACCATTATCTTCGGGTAGAACAATTAATAATGGTTCATCATATTGGACAAATATTCTTGGCTTTGATGGTGATGGAAATGGTACATCATTAAAAAAATGTTTTAAATACTGTTCAATTAATGGTATACGATCAATTAATTGATTATCACTCGATGTTGTCCTACCCGATGAAACAATTAATTGATATATTATAAATAAAAATCGTCTCAGAGTATCGAAAAATGGATGACGTGAAAAAATAACAACACATGTCGATGCATATAAATGATCATTGTCAATTTCTAAACGATTAATTAAATCATTATTTGTTAATAATAAACGATCATATGCCTTAAATAATTCATAAAATGATATACAAGCACCATATTGTTTTGTATTTGATAATAGAAATGTTGAAAATGTTGGTGCAACACTTTGTAATGTCACTTTTGATGGCCATCGTTCAATAAATGCACCCATTGGAAAACAGAAAAGAGGAGTTTTATCAGGAAAAGTATAATATGGATCATCATCTGTTGGTGGATAGGTATAAAGAATATGTGGACGATATTGAATACGTATGGGATAAATAACAGATTTTTTATAACAAAGATAGACATTTGAACCAAGCATTGAGCGATTTAAATTTTTATTTATTTTATTAAATGAATGTGGAGGAGTTTCACCCTAAAAAGAAAAATAATGTTTAACAAGAAATATATGATGAAAATTTTATTGATTAAAGATTAGAAAAGTTTTTTTATAAATAAGATTTGGTCTTATTTCGAATAATATTTCATAGAAAAATGTGTTCATATCATTCTATAAAAAATAGAAGAGAAGATATACTGAATCTTATGTTACAAATTTTTTCAAGAACAAATTCTTGTATCCAATTGAGAAAAATAGAATTTTTGATTTATAGGAATCTCTCAAGACTGCAATTGAAAGCTTTGATATATCACGAAGATATGAACAATTAATAAACTTCAACTTGTTTAACAACATTAGGAAACCTTAATTTTAAACTTCTGTTAACTAAAATATCTCTCTTGATATTTAAATAGAAATTTTTTCATACCTTGCTTTCATTAATAACACAAATATCTGTAACAGCTAAAGTATTGCATAAAATCATTGATGCTGCTCGTCGATATGTAATTAATGTTCGTTCTTTACTAAATGATGAGCTGAATATACTAGCTGGATATCCATGAGGTGTTGTTTCAATAATTGAAACATTTTCCATAACTTTTTCTCGTCCTTCAAGTAAAACTCCAATATCTGTTATTGGTGGTTTATCACGTCCACGTCTAATACATAAATACATTTCATGATTACGAAATCCACTATGATTAAGATTAGCTGGAAAATGATTTGGAGTTGTCCATATTGTTTCATAACCAGCTGGTGGATCTTCTTCATGTGTACGATCAATAATAGCTATATCAACAATTGGTTGTTGATGTTGTGGTGTTAAATCATATGTTTTAGATGATAATTGTATAGATGTATCTGTTGTTGATGATGATGTTGGAATTAATCCATCCCGTTCAATAGGACCTGTACTTCCAACACCAATAAGGGCAAAATGATCAACTAATCGTTTATCATCCATTCATTTTTATTCTAAAATAATCAATGTTTTGTTTTTCATTCTTACTTTTCATTCAATATCATCGATCGAAAGAAACCTATATGTGTAAATTAATCTTGAAATGATATAAAGAAGAAAAAAAAAAGGAGAAAACGAAAAAGATAAAAAGGAACAATAGATCAGGTAACATCACACGTTTTAATAGTGTGCTTTACGGCACAAAAAAGAAGAAGTTTATGTTTGTCTTTTTCTTTTTCTTTTTCTTTCAAAGGATAAGCCATGAAAATAGTCACATGAACAACAAAAGATAAAATGAGAAAAAAAAACAGAAGAACATGTTCACATAAAAGCTTTTTTTTTTGATGATAACCATTGCACTGTTCTAGATTGTACAAACATTTTGTATTTTATTTTTCTTAAACAATAAGAAAAACAAAAATATATTTTTTAATTTAAAAATAAAAGTAATTTTCTACCTGTTTAAATCCATCAGATTTATATATATATATATACAAAAAGGAAAATATGTATTGTTACAATATCAAACAGCGTCATCATGATACCACCAACGAGTTTTTTTTGGATCATTCGATGCTGTACGAACATACCAATCATTATCAGGTGGACGACTCTAAAATATAATCAATCATATTTGACATAAAATAATTGTTAAGTAATTCGATTGAGTATGATAAAAAGAAAGAAAAAATAATCAATCAAACATTATTTACTTATGTTTCAGGATGTTTTACATATAAAAAAAAATCTCTTCATTTTTTTCTTTTCTTTGATTCAATTGTTTATAGAATGTTAATATTTATTTTGTTTCTTCTTAAATCAATATAGATTAAAAATAAGATAATCAAGGAAATTAACTAATCAAAGTTGAATTATTATATTATTTTATACAATTTTCTATGGATCATTTTTAAAAGATGAACATATACTTATTAGGAATTAATGAAAAGATTTTTTTATGAATGATTTATAATATATTTAAAATGATACTGTAATTATAAAATTTTCATCATTGAATAATATTTTTTGATTCAATATTATATTAATCTTACCATGACTACCTTTATGAGTACCACTTCTTATGTACCTAGAATTTGTGCGGATTCCAATTAACAAAATAAATATAATACACGAAGTGGTTCTTAGTTTACTATAGATATGTGAAGACTTTATTTCAAGCAGAATAAATAGAACAACAGCTAGTTTAAATAATATTTATTTAGTCTTTTTTTCATGTTTTAATCATACTCTATTTTCAAGATGTTTGAAATCATGCATTACTATTGAGTATTTATATGTACTTTGAACTGTTCTATACAAGAAGAACAAATGCGTGTAATTGACTGATGTTATCAATCAACTGTACTAACAAGAGAATATTTTCAGCTGTTCTCTTCTGATTTCAATGATTATACTACATAGTACTATGATGAAATCATTTGAAGGATTCAAATTTCTATTGATATTTGACTAAGCTATCGAGCTTTGTCTACAGACTTCAGATTTTTCGGAAAACTCGTATTTGCGAATTTTGATTTCAAACATCATGCCTATAAAGGACTCAATTACACTAGCTTCTATAAAAGAAAAACAATCAAAGTCTCTTCGAGATATGAGATTTTCACGATATGGACTTTTCTCCTTGGATATTATGTATACAACATGCATTTTTTGATAGCTTTTAAAAATTTCTAATTTTTCTGATGGAAACTAGTCGATATGAGTTCTCTATATGCATCAAGTTTTACGTACTATAATTATTAACATCGGAAGGGAGCTGCTGAAGAGGTTCTCGCGTAAGTGCTTGCAATGTATATCTAATAGACCATGATTCGATTAATATTATGTATGCATAATATGACAATCAATGTTATTGGGGCCTCGGACCAATCTAGTTAGCTACCGAGAGTTTATCAGTACTTCGAAATGGTCTACACTGATAAATAATAGTTGGATAAAACTGACAGATCTTAGCAATATATTCGACTAGACTTAATAATAGCATATTTGAAAGATTAGTGATTTCATCTAATATTGTATACTTACAATAGTATGATGAAACTGGTTGGAATAGATCTGGACTTTAGGTGCTCATGTCAAGGTTATCAATATATCAGAGAAATGAGTCATTTCGTTTATCTTATAAGTCATTGATACTACTAACTATGATAATTGTTACATGATATTCCTTCGAATAAAAATTCAAAGTATTTCATCATTCTATCGATAGAAAATAATTTTTCGAAAGTATCAAATTACATTCTACCATATGATAGTTTATATAAATATAAGCAATCAATAGACAAATAGATGCAATTAAATATAGATTTTCAAAGAAACATCAAATTATACCTTATCTTTGCAACTTGACAGCATAGATAAAATACTAAGACAAACAGCATTAATACTTAATGCTGGTGACCAATCATCTGTTAAAATTGATAGACATATATGACCGTTTGAATAAATATGTGGATGAAGAGGAATGTTAGAACCAATGAAAGTAACCTAAATACACAAAATAAAAATCTAAATATATATATATATACATGTATTTTTCTCTTATTACTTGTGGTGAATCAAATGGATATTGATCAGAAAACTTAAATAATAATTGAAATTTTTCACCATCATACAATGTTCCTGGTGCACCTTCAATATCAATTCGAATTCTAAGATAAATATATATATATAAATATATATAGATTATTAATTAGTGATGGGCGGAAACTGTACGTTACGAACGTAAGAAAAATTCTTACGACTATAATGTAAGAAAGGCGTAATTTTTTGTTCCTTCCTGTACGAAATTACGGAATGACGTACAATGTTGCTCGTCATTGTGAAACGTTATTCCATAATTTCGTACAGAAAGGAACAAAAAATTACGTCTTTTTTACGTTATAATTTTTCTTTCGTTTCTCTTACGTTCGTAACGTACAGTTTCGGCCCATCACTATTATTAATTAGAAAACAATATATTCTTACTTTCGCATATCAGTAAAATCTTCTACAACTCGACTATAAAACAAAGAAAAAAAAATTCTTTCATTCAAAGATAATAACAGCAAACAAAAATACATACATTCCTGGTGTTGGATTTTCTGTTAGTAATTTAATTTCTTTTGTTAGACGTTTTCGAACAAGATCAAACTAAAGTAAAATAAAATACGATCATATCTATTGAATACATAAAACTATCAATCAATAAATACAAACCGCCATTCAATTGAATTTTGCAACAGAAAAAAATAAATATGTCTATTATTCTCTCGATTTGAAAAAAACGTAGATTCTTCTTTCTTATTATATCAATATCATCTGAAAAAACAAATAAATTGTCCATCAAATATCTTCTTTACAATTGATGCTAATAGACATCAGTTAAAGCCAAATATTGCGTCTCAAAAACAGATCGTTATTTAAAAAAAAAAGAGAAAAAAAACAAGAATGTCAGCTTAAAAAACAATGGAAAAGAAGAAAAGACTTCAGTTTGTTTTGATTATTATTTGGATACATCAGAAGAAGAAAAACACATTGTGATAAGAGACTCATATATTTTTTTTTTGTTTTCTTAAAAACAATTATTAAAAAAAAAAAAAAAAAAAAAAAGAAAAGAAAAGACGTTTGCTATTTTCCATCACAGCACGAACAACATCTATGTACATGAGCATGTTTATTGCGAAAAGGTTTTTGTGATTTAATGTTTAATTGACATTGACTGAAAATGAGGACCCATTTTGTCAACTTCTGACGACGACATTGCATGACCGACTAAACAAAAAAATAATTAATTTAAATGAAAACTGTTGTTTTTTTTCTTTCTTATAGACAAAATAATTTACCTTGTGCGAATTGTTCACTAAGATCACCAAGAGCATTTCGTCGACCTGTTCTTCGTGCTGCTTGAAACATTTTCAGATCTTCAGCTTCAGAAATTGGTGGTGTTGTTTCAGTTGTATTATTGGCATTTGTAGCTGATGCACTCATTTATTTAGATTTTCTTTTCAGAAAAATACAACAAAATTGAAAACGAAATATTAATCTTTAAAGTATGGTTAATGAATCAGGCTGAAATAAAAATAGATTATACTCATTAATCAGATCATTGTCATTCAAACATTATTCATAATATAGGAAAAAAAAAATAAACAAAACGGGCGGCACAAGGGTTAACGTGTGAGATATATGATGATTGGTTCAAAATCTATCCATTCATATTAAACATATTTTATAGTAGATGTCTCTAATTATCATGATGAATATGTCAAAGATTTAATTGATATTTTTATATATAAGTATATTGAACGACTTTTGATATAAAATTATTTTTGTTTTAACAGCAGCGAAAAGATATATAATTGACACTAAAGAAAGACTAACGAAAATGACAGAATTTACTTTTGCAGAAAAACTGGAAAAGTAAATTCTGTTTAGACTAACTTTATGTTGAATATTACTGATATTGTGCAATTATATTAGCACTATTTAATAGTGACATATACCATACCATTGAATGTTTTTTCGTTCTTCGTATAGTGTACATATAGATTGTTTCAAACTAGCGAACTAATGTATGGAAAACAACAGAATGAATGTAAAATGACATCATCGTATAGTAAAAATACATTAGTTCGCTAGTTTGAAACAGTCTATATGTACACTATACGAAAAACGAAAAAACATTCAATGGTATGGTATATGTCACTATTAAATAGTGCTAATATAATTGCACAATATCAGTAATATTCAACATAAAGTTAGTCTAAACAGAATTTACTTTTCCAGTTTTTCTGCAAAAGTAAATTCTGTCATTTTCGTTAGTCTTTCTTTAGTGTCATTTATATATCTTTTCGCTGCTGTTAAAACAAAATAATTTGATATTTTTAATACCTAATCCTAAATAATATTTACTATATGATTAGTATGAAGTCCGATTTTGCGTTTCTATAGAAATAAATCTATATTTGAAGATAATAAATCATTTGTAAGAGTGAAATAAT